TTGGGAGGGCTGGGTGCTTTAGTGTCAGAATGATTTGGGAACAGGGCACACAGAGGAGGTACCCACCCAGGTCACCAGCACAGCACACTCACAGTCCTGCATACCCCTCCTTCCATCATGAAGCCCTCCCACCCTAGCAATGGAGAACATTTAGAATGCTTGGAGCAGAGAAGTACATATCAGACCATCTCTCAGGCTGCTCACCCCTCTCCTTCCCCCGAAAACCTTTCCTAGGTCCCACACCACACTACCCATTTCCTTGGGGGCATAGAACAGTGTTAGCACCATCGTTTCACCCTGTGTCTTGGGTACCCCAAAACCATCAAGTGTGTGGACAGAGAAGATGGGAAGTGGGGACAGATCCTGGCTCCCAGGGCATCAGTGGGTGGAAAGTGACTCCATTCTGATCTCAGGGTGAAAGTAAGGAAAGGCATTTTGGTGACACAGCTCACAGCCAGTGCCTGGGGACAAGCAACCACCAGCAGCCCCCGGAGGGTGAAATCGGATAAGTCCCAGGCCAGATTCCACCTGGGCAGCTCCCCTTGGAGCAAGCCAGTCCCCAGCGCAACCAGGGAGTTTCTGCTTGCTGGGAGTAGGAAGCTCACTGGTGGAGGAGGCTGGGGTGAAAGGTAAATCAGAAGGGGTAGGGGAAGTGAAAGGGGCGTGTTATAGAGAGCCCGTGTGTGCTGAGGTCACGAGGGAGGGGGCTGAAGAGACCGGGCAAGGGGAGACCAGCTAAAGAGGAACAGTCCGGTAGGACAAGGAGGGGCCGCGACTGCGTGTCTTGGAGGGCCTCTGGATTGCATGGAAGCGGGCACTGACTGGCCTGGGCGTTATCAGGTTTCTGAGAGTTCTTGGGATTTCTAGGGATCTCGAATTGAAGGGAATTGAAGGACAACTTGGGTACGGAGCCAGGCTGTCCTGGTCCAGGGTCTCAGGGTTTGTGAAGGGTGGGTGAGTCGGAGGGGGAGACTCGCCCACTGGACTCACCTGTAGACATCGGTCCAGAGGTGCGTGCCCAGCACGTACACCGCCTCCACGCGGCTCCCGTACAGCAGCCGCACCGTCCGCTCCCGCAGCATCTTATCACCCCCGCAGAAGCCGCTGTCTTCCCCGCTGCTCCCGGTTCTGAGCACCTGCTACAGGTGAGCGCGCCGCTGCGCCTGCGCCCGCCGCTGTGCTGCGGGCGGCCTTAAACCACAGCCGGGGGGCGGGGCTGGGCGGGGCTGTCCGCCGGACTCCTCTTGGAGTGGGCCTGCGGCCTGTCCATCAGGCCTGGCCCCGCCCTCCTAGCGCCCCCAACCGCAAGCTGTCAATTCCTACTTCTCATGTTTGGCTTGCTCATTCTTTTATTCAATAATCTCCCCATTTCTGGACCTACAGCCCGGAGGGGCAGAAAAACGCGAGCAGGGGCAACCGAAGGGACAGGGCAGGAGTGGGTGGGAGCACAGAGGGGGCGACCAGACCCAGTCTGGGGCCAGGGAAGGCTTCTCAGAGGAGACCTCTGAGGTTTCTTAAAGAGGATCTTGGCAACACAAGGGGAGGAGAGGAGCCTCTGGGACACCTCCGGGAAGCTGGGCGCCCCCACATCAGATCTACACTGCCGTGGGAAATAGGGAGTGGAGGGAACTCTGCCCCTGGCAGGGACCAGAATGCTAACTAAGCCCAGGCATGAGAGAGGCTGCAGGAGCCTGGAATGGCTCTTCCTCAGGGGTGATCTGGGAGTGTATTCTGGCTGCTCCAAACCACGGTGAGCAGGCTGAGCTGGGGCCAGCAGCAAAGACCCCGACCCCGGCTGGAACGTGAGAGGGCTGGAGAGGGGAGGATTGGTCCCAGCAGTGTTTATGGATGGAGATTTGGGTGGCTCCCGGTGGCTGAGAGGGTGTGCCTGTGTGAAGGACAGGGACCCAGCAGAGGATTAGGGCCCCAGCCTGGGACACCAAAAGGTGTGCCAAGGTAGAGGTCAGTGTGTGTCCTGGAAGGCCAGGGTGCATGTGATATCTAGTGGGGGGTCTGAACCGTCGTCAGCTCCATCCAGGCACTTTCTCTCTGAACCCAAGCCCGAGACTATGCCATAAACAGCAGCATTTGAGGAAGTGGCTTCGTGTCATGGGAATGGAAATTGAAGGGTGGATGGAGGGGATGCATTTTGGGGAGGGAGGTGGGCTGATGGGAGACCAGGGAGGGGGGGCACTGAATTAAACAGGGACTGCTCATAGGTACCTAATGCCCAGGCACACCCGGCTAGTCCTTGACTCCAATCTTCTCCTCAGATGCCCAAATTCTTAGGAGACAGTAAGGACCCCAGCTGTTCTTGGGTGTCAGGGATCTGGAAGGAATGTGGGTGGAGAAGGGAGAGGGCTGGAGTCTCTGCCAGAGGGGTCATTGTCCCCCCAAAGGCTTCCTGTTCAGATCCTGGGAGAAGCTGGTAACTTCTGATTGGTCCCTGGCATTGCTTTCTCCAATCATGAGGCAGCATGTCGAGGGCCATCTGCCTCAGTGGGGAGTGAGTCCAGGTAGCACCAAGCTGATGGAACCCCTCCCCTTCAGAGGTAAGCTTGGGTCTGAGCACCCCTCTGCATGCAAGCCAGAGGGAGTGCTTCCCACCTCCAAGAGAGGCAGAATATGAGTCTTTTATGTCACCCCCTCCACCAAGTAAGTGGGGCCCAGTGTGGGGCAAGGACACATCTCTTAACCAAGTCCCAAGTGGGTCACAGCAGAGCCAGGGTTCTGACAACATCAGGCCAAGGCCATGGTTACCCAGCGGAGCAGGAGTCACAGTTTGGACTCATTGCTTGTGTGGTTTCTGCACCCCACACTGCTCTCAAGTGGCACTTTCCAATGTATTAGATTATTTTATCTTTCCAGGAACCCTGTCACTTTGGAGATGAAGAAAGAGAGCACAGAGAAGTTGAAAACTTAAGCTGGGTGTGCACAGCTTCTGGCTGTGGCAGAGCAGGAACCCGGGTGGGGACACAGGGTGTGTAGGCAGGGGTTTAGTGGGCAAGGGTGGCTCACCCTACCCCTGGTAAGCTCATAGGCAACCCCTCATCTGAAATGATACTAAGTGAGACGATATTCAGAAAATGCTGGCAGAGTCTGGTCCAAGGCTCAGGACGCAAAGCCCCCTCCCTTTTGTAATCCACCCTTGTCTGGTCACCCACACTTAGGCCTCTGACCTGCTTCTGGCTCACCCCATTGGGCCCAGTGCCTGGCTCGATGGGGTAGGAGCTTTTGGAGCCCAAGGGTTTAAAATAGCTGAAGTGGTCACAGCTGTTGGTGGATTGAGGGCCGGAGGTCTCACACATTACGGCTGCTCCTGCTGCTCCCACGGAGCCTAGAAAATCCACATGGCATCTCTCGGTGCCTTTTGGAGAGTGCCAGCAAAGGGTAGGCTCAGCTCTGACCAGTTCCCAGCACTGACGGTCCTGGACCCCTCCTCCAGTACAAACCCTGCCAAACACAGGGCCAGAGAGCCTGAGCCTGGAGGGGCCTCCTCTGCCAGCGCTCTGCCCTGTTGTGGGCTTGCTCTGTGCCTGGCTTTGGGAGGTGACTTAAAACATCCATGAGCCTGCTTTGAGATGGGCCGCTCACCAAGGGTATTTTTAAAAAATGGAAAAAAGAAAAAAAAAAAGAAAAAAGCTGGTTACTGGGGAAAATTAAAAAATCATGACCATCCAGGACCTAGCATCAAAGATCAATGTGGACATCTTTGTGGTAGGACCTCCCCACTTTCAGGTGTGTGCGCACATGTATGTGGGTGTGCTCACCCGTGTATGCATGTGTGCAGGCCAGAGGTCAATGTCAGGTATCTTCCTGTATCACCTTCTACCTTAGTTTCTTAATGTTACATGTTCTGTGTATGGATGTTTTGCTTCCATGGATGTATACCTGTGCACTGTGTGTGTGCCTGGTGCCCTGGGAGGCCAGAAGTGGGCATTGGGTCCTGTGGAGCTGGAGTTCCAGACAGCTGCGAGCCACCACGTGGGTGCTGGTCCTCTGGAAGAGTAGCCAGTGCTCTCAACAACGGAGCTGAATCATCTCTTTGCTCCAACCCTGCCATCTTAGTTTTTGAGGCAGGGTCTCTCCCTGAACCTGGAACTCAACAAGCCCCCCCGCCCCATCCATCTGAGTAAAGCAAGCCCTTGGCTGTGCTTTGAGTCTCGGTACAAAGGTCCCGCCCGGGGCAACAGCCATGACATAGAGCCCCGAGGCTGCGCCAGGAACTGCTCTAACGTTTCCCCACATCTGAGCTCACTTCACCCCCACGACAGCCAGGTGCAGCGGACAGCATTGTCATCCCATTTGAACAGAGGCCCCAGCCCTCCCAGCAGAAAAGACATCGGCCTTTGGACATGGCAGACTGGGGTCTGCTGGGGCCCTCTCTGGCCACTGTGTCTTCCTCTATGAAAGAAAACACTCGTAGTACCAAGCCTGCGTGATTGCAGATGGTAAAAATGATGGGTGGCAAATGGCTCCGCCTGTGGTGGCCTGGCACAGGGCCAGGTCCCGCTAGCTCATAGTTATTTGCTCTGCAGATGACCCTTGTCTGCCGGTTTTGCAAGAGGGGCTTCTGACTGTGCTATTTTATTAGACGCTTGGAATGTCCACAGTGTGAGGGACAGCCTGGCTCCACCTTGTGAGTCCTATGAAGAACTTGGGCTCTATCTTAAGGTCATGGGAAGTCACGGAACCCTCTGGAATGTGATGATGGCATGACCTCACTTGAGGAGACTCCCTGTGGAGACAGGAATCCTGGCGGGAGACCAGAGTGCACTTGAGATGGAGGCGGGCGCCCTCCCTCTGTGGCTGTGCCAGGGGACCTGCAGGCCTGGCCTGGCCTGGCCTGGCCTCACTCCCTCACATCGCCCCTGTCCCCAGGAGAGTCCTGTTCTTCTCTTTCTTAGGGATGGGTAACCGGCTGGCTGGTGAAAGAGAGGCAGCTGGGGATGGCGGTGATGGTGGGGGAGGCGGGGATGGTGGGGATGGCGGTGATGGTGGGGAGGCAGTGATGGTGGGGGAGGCTGACACAACACTTGGTGGAGTGAGCCAGATTCTGCAGTTCACCAGGCGGCCACGGTCAGAAGGCACTCTGCAATTCCGGCAAAGACTGGAAGAGGTGATGGCCACAAGGTGGCACCAGGTCTCCATTTTCGAGGCACAGGAAACCAGTGTTCTGAGTGGGGTTGGGTCACCTCAAAAACTGAGGAGGCAGGGCTGGAGCATAGAGATGATTCA